GCGTGTTCATTAAATATACAACATTTAATATATATATATATATATATATATATATTATACACACAATAAAATAACATCACATGGTCAAACAGCCAAAATAACAGTAAGAGAGAAAAATATTATTCCACGTAAAATTAAACACTTCAGTTGAAGTGAGACTCAGCTATTTTATCTACCTGTTAAAAGTGCCACATTGTATACACATTAGTTTGCCATATCAAATGATACTAATATTTTTTTTTAAAAATAATTTAAAATTTTTCACTTGGAAAGAAAAAAAAAGGAGTTAAATACCCTGACAAAACTGATGGAAATTGTGGATGTGTTACTACGAGTACTGATCTACAGTAGTAAAATTAACAAATCTGAAAATACAGAAACCTAATTGAAATTTGGTTTAAATTACATAAACGCAAGAGGTGAAATTTGGTGTCCATTGTAGTAATCATTTTGTTTTATTTGCCCAAAAAAATCATTTTATTTGTTTCTCTCTCGGAAGCAGAATTATTGAACGCGTCACGTGCAGTCGGCAACTTGGACTCGCATGTTTAATGTTAAACCTGTTGCGTTAGCCAAAAGTAAAGGCAATGTTTGGAAACTGCAACATTCAAGTTATCTGACGGCCAACGTCCCGTGCCTACCATGTAGACCTTGGACCACCCCACACACAGCCATAACCCATCAGACCTCTCTCTAATTGTTGATACTTAGAACTCTCACTGCTCGAGAAATACTTGTATGAAACGGAAATAACACTGTTTTGATATCTCCAATCAATAACAATAACTTTGCATGTGACGTTACTTTATTGGCCTAAATAGTAAAATAGTTATATTCCTGTTGCAACCAAGTTTTTCTCTTCACGGCTCGGCGCAACTACCAATTATGCAACCAATAAAACAAAAACACACAAAAGCTGACGTCAGTCGAAAGCGCCAAACAAAATATTTGAGGGCCCCGCTGCCCGAGTAGCTCGAAGGTCCAGGTTCGAGGCCTCTAGAGAGCATGGAGCATCAAACACTATTATTTAATTTAATTTAATTTAATTTAATTTCAAAATCCCTTTTTTAAATTGCAACTACACATAATTATGGGGAAGCTTTATATATTTTTAAATTAATTTAAATAATCCCGAAGCGCTGAACCATTTGGTGTCGGAGTCTGCGCAAAAGCAAAGCTCTACACTTGCTCTGGGTGATGATGTCATCGTTTATCAACTCCACAGTGGCCCCTCCCTCTGACTGTCCAATTATGCACCAGCTAAGATAGGCAGTCTTCTGTCCACGTCATAGCTGTGATGGGTCATGGAAAAACCTACTGGGGTGGGGCCTAATCTACTGGGAATGGGTTTGGTAAAGAATGAGATTACTTTGGAAAAGAAAGGATAGAGATTAGGGAGAGGAAGGTGCAAGAACAAAGACAAGAATCGCTTTTTTTTTTTATATGAAAAGACAAGAATCGTATGAAATGCAAAGGATCATATACTGGCGTTTTACCCCCTAGTTCATAAAAAAAAATATCGTAGGGGAAATTACTTTTTCTTGCCTTAATTTGCACATTAGTGGTCTCAGGTATGAATTCTCATGATATTTCCGTTCGCTTTCTTAATTTTAAGAAGAAAAAAAAAAAGGTTGTGAAAGAGAAAATAGAAGATATATACGTGTCAAAAGAATTAGGCGAGTTAGTAATTACATTTATTACTAATTACGTAAATGAGATATTAGTTGGTACTCCTAAAGTTGTTGTAAACATGATTCTCCCCAAAAAAAAAAAAGTTGTTGTAAACAGGGAACAAAATCCTAATAATTTGGGCAAATGCAAGTGTTGTGGGGAGACAAAAATAAAAAGTTCTGTAGTTTTGCAAATATAATAAATTAACAAAAATATAATTTAAAAAGATTTCTATGGAAATAGCGCTATTTTGACAACCTTATCGATAATACTTTAACACGCGTGAAATATTTCCACATAACGTAACATTATCGGCTGAAGATAGCAATGACATTAATATCTAGGTGCATGCGGGGTAACGAGTCTCTCAATACGCTAAAGTCAGCATCAAGTGCCTGGAACAAACAAGCCCCCTTCCTTCTGTAGACCACCCACGTCAACCCCGCCTCCTATACGATCAGAAATTTTACAGCCTGGCAAAAGCCTCCGGTCTCGAGAGCTCTTTTCCCCCCACTTAAAATCTCCCACGTGTCGTCAGTCTTCGACGTACCTGTCCTCTCTACAGCTGTCCCCCTTATCGTCCTCAAAACCCGAGTATAAAAGCACACACAAACCCAATTCAGCTTCACTCACTGACTCACCTCCCCCACCCCACACGGCCTAAAAATATCTCTCGGGCTTAAAACCCTGAAATTCTCCACCTTCGAGATGGCTTCTATTTACCACTATGCCACTTCTTTTATAATCCTCCTCTCTCTCATCGGCCCGAACTTGGGCGCTCTGGTAGAGCAGCAGCCTCTGGTGCTCAAGTACCACAACGGCGCGCTTCTCAAGGGCAACATAACCGTCAATCTCATCTGGTACGGCCGCTTCACCCCGATCCAACGGTCCATCGTTGTCGACTTCGTCCAATCCCTCAGCTCCCGGTGGGCCCCGCCCGGCTCCGCGGCGTCTTGGTGGAAAACGACGGAGAAGTACAAAAGCGGGGCCTCGAACCTCGTGGTCGGGAGGCAAGTCCTCCACGAGGCCTACACTCTGGGAAAGTCCCTCGGCAACCGACACCTGGTGGCCCTCGCGGGCAAAGTCAACTCGCTGAAAGCAATAAACGTGGTTCTGACCGCGAGTGATGTGGCGGTCGCCGGGTTCTGCAGCCGGTGCGGTACCCACGGGTCGACCCAGGATAAGAAGACGGCGTACATCTGGGTCGGGAACTCGGAGGCCCAGTGCCCCGGCCAATGCGCCTGGCCGTTTCACCAGCCCATCTACGGCCCACAAACGCCGCCTTTAATTGCGCCTAACGGCGACGTTGGGATTGACGGCGTCATCATAAACCTCGCCACGCTATTGGCGGGAACCGTGACCAATCCGTTCAACAACGGCTACTTCCAGGGTCCGGCGAGCGCGCCGCTTGAGGCGGTCTCGGCGTGCACGGGCGTTTTTGGATCTGGGGCTTACCCGGGTTATCCGGGTCGGGTCCTGGTGGATAAAGCGACTGGGGCGAGCTACAACGCGGCTGGGGCCAACGGGCGTAAGTTCTTGGTGCCCGCCATGTGGGACCCGCAGACCTCTGCATGCAAGCCGCTTGTGTGAGTGATGTGGCAAAGCAATCTGGGCCGCACGTGATCGTGTAGATACTAATATAATAATATAATATTAAGGTTGATATATATTATGGTGATGTGATGGTGTACGATGGGGTGGATAAGGGTGGCTGGGGCCAACGGGCGTAAGTTCTTGGTGCCCGCCATGTGGGACCCGCAGACCTCTGCATGCAAGCCGCTTGTGTGAGTGCTGTGGCAAAGCAATCTGGGCCGCACGTGATCGTGTAGATACTAATATAATAATATAATATTAAGGTTGATATATATATGTGATGGTGTACGATGGGGTGGATAAGGGTTTTTGTACACACTCGAAGGTTGTCGTCTTGCGTGACGTGTAAATTTTATTTTCTCTGTCTTAAGAAAAAAAATAGAGGGAAAATGTTTGTGAAAGCAAAAGGAGAAATGAAAGGTGGCATTGGCATTATGAAGTTTGGGTTTGCTTTTGGGCAATAATTTATAGGATAAAGGAAAGCTTAATGATTTTATGCTAGGCCCTGGGAGACCATTATGACAAGTATGCGAGAATAAACTTACCTATATCCGCAACCCATTTTCCCCCGTTTATATCTATATCTCTCATCACGGGATTTTTTCTACAAACCAGACAAGCGATGTGAGAGATCGATATAGGACAAGAGGAAATGCATGATAAATTTTATTTTATTGCGTACATGATATATATAATTAATTAAAGACGTCGAAATGTAATTCTTGCTTTTGGGCAATAATTTATAGGATAAAGGAAAGCTTAATGATTTTATGCTAGGCCCTGGGAGACCATTATGACAAGTATGCAAGAATAAACTTACCTATATCCGCAACCCATTTTCCCCCGTTTATATCTATATCTCTCATCACGGGATTTTTTCTACAAACCAGCCAAGCGATGTGAGAGATCGATATAGGACAAGAGGAAATGCATGCAAAATTTTATTTTATTGCGTACATGATATATATAATTAATTAAAGACGTCGAAATGTAATTCTTGTGTCTATAACACTCATCGGTCAATTGGTATATAACACTCAATTAGACCCGTATTAAAAAATGTGATTTTTTAAATATAAAATTCTAGCTCTTATACTTTTTGTGTTTTGTAATATGCAAAACTAGTGGTTCAAATGGAATGGAAGGTTAACTTTAATTAATTAATTATTTATTTATTTAGTAAGAAAAAAGTCACAAGTTGGGAGAGAGTTTGTTTTCTTCTTCCGCCAAAAGTGTGCATATTTTTCGAATTTAAAGCGTATTGAATGGACCATGGAGTTGGTACATTTACGGTTTACCCAAAAACAAAAGAAAATTAAGAACACTACAAACAAACCCCAATAAGTAGGCGGTAGGCCCTTTGGCCTTTTTTCTTTTCCCCTTTTTTCCCTATACATCTCTCCAATAATCCAATTCTTGCTCCAACCACGTCGTTTCCCCATTAGAACAAGACGATGCACCAATACCTTGGAGGAATTAAATGGGGATATGCTTGCTCAATGCCATATGCTCAAGTTTAATTAAATGGAAGGAATATGTTCCAACATTTTAAAGTGGGACTAGACCGAGCTATTTGAATTAAAACGGACAAGAGTCTTACCGTTATTTGATGCTGGAACCGATTCTCAATAAAGTGAACAACTGTCTAAAGTATTGTGTCTTACAAGTCCTACCTAGAGGAATGAGATTCATGAAGCAGGCCGAGATACAAAAGAACATTCGAACCACAAACTATATCATGCTGAAGAGCTTAAGTCAAAATTAGCTTATTCATACACAGAGAAATACATCATTATATGTCTGCTGCAATAATTTTTAAACCATCATCACAAACACAAGTATCATCTTTGTAACTTGGCAAATCCATCGATATCATATTTGTTCGATTTCCTGATGCAGTTGAAAGCCTTTGCTTTATATATCTCATACTATCACACCTTCTACTCTATACATAATACATACAGCTCACCACGATTTTCTGAATTCAGATTCAAGCATAGGTGGAATCTCCTATATAACAGCAGAGGCCGGAAAGTGCCTTGATCCAAGCCTTCTCTTACGTAGCCGCTCAGCAATGATAAAGGCAAGTTCAAGAGATTGTGAAGCGTTGAGCCTTGGGTCACAATGAGTGTGGTAGCGCGAACTCAGATCATTATAAGTTATAGTTCGTGAACCTCCAACACACTCTGTCACGTTTTGCCCTGTCATCTCTAAATGAACACCTCCTGGGTAGCTTCCTTCTTGATCATGGACATCAAAGAACGCTCTCAGCTCAGCCTGACAGTATAAAACAACAAGATCATTGCTGCTATTAGTACAGTTGGAGGTATTAGTAAAACTTCAACTAAAAAGAATAAAAATTGAACGTTTTGGACTTTGAAAGGCTTAATGATGCAAGCTTCTATGACTAGTAATCTTTCCAACCTACTCAATGTAGTCATCAATCAGGACAATTATGAAGGATCAATGTTTCAAGCATTTTTCTGACCATCTAGAGATCAATACATTACTTTATCTGAAATTGCAATCATATGTACAGTGTGAAGAAAGAAATCAAGCCCATTTGTTGGATTTTCACATTTCAAAGATATGTTCAAAGAAAAAAGTAATATGTATTATATGATAAATCATACAGAACTTAAATAATTCCATGGACTAAGATAGCTCATTTCAAGGGTGTCCTTGTCCAACCTACTAGACATGGGTCATCATGTTTTATTGGTAATTGACTATTGACCAATTGTGTCATGACAATGAAACGCATAATTGGAATGGATTTTTGAAAAAGGACAACCCTTAAAAACTCAGTCATAGAGAGAGCCATAGACTTCAAGAGATGCAGTTAATTTCCTTCTTTATTGTTATTTTATTTTATGAAAAGGTATCTTAACTTGAATAGATATTGGCAGGCTTACTTGAACAGAAGAGACAATTTAATTTATATATATATATATATATAAAGATGAACCCAGCAAACAAGTGGCAAGAATGAAAGTGTGAATTTATAACATCATACCCTAATTGCATCAAAGGAACGAGTTTTGAGTCCACAAGGAGCTTTGATTGTGTTTCCGTGCATAGGGTCACTAACCCATGTGACAATTTGACCTGCTCCGCGGACAGCCCTGATCAGATGAGGAAGCTTCACTCTCATGTTCTCAGCTCCCATTCTCACAATTACTGTTACTCTTCCTGGTTTGTTCTTGGGGTTGAGGATCTCTATGAGCCTAACAAGCTCATTTGGATCCATTTTATCACTCACCTGCATTACAATATTGTTCATACACTGCCTACATTTTTCTGGAAAGAAAAAGAAAAAGAAAAAAAAGAAAAGAAACCACCAGCATATCTCTCTACCAGGTTCACAATTACAAACTAAGATATTCAACAAAGACTTAAAATACATGACACATAATAGTGTTACGCTTGTTCATGCCACCAATGCAAAGGAATTTAGTATGAGAAGAAAAAAGAAAACGAGTGTTTTTGAACATAAATGAAAGCAAAATGTGCCGGATACCTTGATGCCAAGGGGATTAGAAACTCCTCTCAAAAACTCAACATGTGCACCGTCCAGTTGGCGAGTTCGTTCCCCAACCCACAGCATGTGAGCAGAACAGTCAAAGTAAAGCCCAGAAGTAGAATCCTCCCTAGTAAGTGCTTGTTCATAAGGCAGAAGCAAGCATTCATGAGATGTCCAAAACTCTGTTGTAGTCATGATTGGGTGGTCAACTGTGAGTCCAGTAGCAGCCATAAATCCAAGGACTTCATCTACCCGGTTAGCCAGTTCACGGTACCTATTGAGCCAGACCAATTATATGGTTACGCCTGAATTTTTCCCAAGTACTAAAAACCTTGTTGAACTCTAGAGCTACTTCAAATCAACCCACTTAGAAATAAACTGCATACACCCAATTTAAGATCGACAGAGTCCGTATAACATTATAAATTCTATTTTAAAACAAAAAACACAATAAACTTAAGTGCGAAGTTTCAAAACAAACTAATAGCATTTCTATACATGATCACCTAAAAGATGTGTCACCTTATGCGTATGAAGTTATGCTAGAAATAGAAAAAGGACTCAACCATCCTAAATGGGGTCATTGAATCAATAATGCCCAAATCATTAACTAGTGTTCTGGGCCTTCTGGCACATATTATTTAACCTAAACTTTACCATCACTTAATATTCACCATATTGGCAACACCTGAAAAGAGGGTTCTAGTTAAGATATCAAAGTTCATGCCGTGTGAAGCACAATTTAAGATCGACAGAGTCCGTATAACATTATAAATTCTATTTTAAAACAAAAAACACAATAAACTTAAGTGCGAAGTTTCAAAACAAACTAATAACATTTCTATACATGATCACCTAAAAGATGTGTCACCTTATGTGTATGAAGTTATGCTAGAAATAGAAAAAGGACTCAACCATCCTAAATGGGGTCATCAAGTCAATCATGCCCAAATCATTAACTGGTTTCTGGGCCTTCTGGCACAAATTATTTAACCTAAACTTTACCATCACTCAATATTCACCATATTGGCACCACTTGAAAAGAGGGTTCTACTTAAGATATCAAAGTTGATGCTGTGTGCAGCACAATTTGAAACCATAATATTCCATTAGAAAAAAAAAACGAATTTCCAGAGCAAGTTATAAATTTGAAACTAACTCGCAGGAGTAAGAACCATACCTATCTCCCTGTTCGCTATGCTCTGTAAAATCCAGATTCCATTGGGTGACTCTCTGCATGGCGGCATACCCTCCAGTGGAAAATGCCCTCAAGAGGTTCAAAGTTGCCACAGATTGGCAATAAGCACTAACCATCCTGTGGGGGTCTGGACGTCTTTCCTTTTCATTAAACGCATCACCGTTGACATTGTCACCTCTGTAACTAGGCAGCTTCACGCCATTTTTCTCCTCAAATGGATCTGATCTTGGCTTTGCGAACTGACCCGCCATTCTCCCTACCTAAATTATATACCCATAGTTTATGTCATCTATCAGCACCATTAACAATTATTATAATGTCCAGCAGTTAAAATTCAATGGCTAATTATTATAGATATGAATTTTTTTTGCCATGAACCATTTCTACGACTACAGTTCAATTATAGGAAAACATATCTCTCACAAATTAGCATTCAACCACCAATGAAGTCATATTATTTTAAACTGATATTTCAATATCATTTGTAATTCCACCAAGTATCAATTTATTTCTCCAGGACTAATTCCATCACTCACATATTATTGAAGAATTATTCACAAACTATCACCAACCCAGAAAATAAAAAAAACCTACACCTACACCACACGCATGATCCTGTTTCATACATAGTAGATTGATTCAACATTTACCAATCTAATATAATCTTATGCAAATTTCCACCCCAACCAACACCAAAAAAGAAAAAGGCTCAATATTTAAACACCAAAAAGGAACAAGAACGAGGAGACGAAAGCAATCATAACCTTAATAACAGGCATTTGGCCACCAAACATAAGCACAACGCCCATCTGAAGAAGCACACGGAAGGTGTCCCTTATATTGTTAGCATTAAATTCCTTGAAGCTCTCAGCGCAATCACCACCCTGAAGAAGGAAGGCCTGGCCCATGGCAGCCTGACCCAATTTCTCTTCCAAGCTCCTGGCCTCCCCAGCAAACACAATGGGCGGAAAGGTCTCGAGGGTGCCGAGGACCGAGGCCAGCTCCTCCTGATCTGGGTACTCTGGGAGCTGCAGGGCCTTCTTGGCCTTCCAGCTGCCGAGGGTCCATTTGGGTTGGGTTGGAAAGGTGGGTTGTGGTGCACCGGAGGGCTTTGATGGATCGGCGGCATGGACGGCTGAGATGGGTTTGTGGGTTGGTAGCTGAGGGAGTGAAGGATGGTGTTTGATGGGTTCGGGGTGGAGGAGGGATTTGAACGAGAGAGCAGAGTAAGCTGTAAATGCCATTTTCTTCGTCTTGTGAGACAATTTGGATGTTGGAAATTGGTATTTGACTTGGAAGAGACGATATACGTTTTTTTAATTTTGGGAATTTGTACGAATATTTAAGAGATATGTGAATTGACCGCCATGTGGTATGTTTTACAATTTTGTCAAGTAGCTCTGTAAATTGATCACATCCCCATTGTATAAAAGTTCTTCTTCGCACTTGAGCTTGACGCATACCCCTCCCTGTCTCTTTCATTCAGCCTTCCGCTCTCCCGCTCTCCCGCTCTCCCGCTCTCCCGTATAGTGAAAAAAGTGAAAAAAGTAAAAAAATATAGGGTGAATTTGAATATAATACCTGAAAGTTCACTTTTTTGCGTCAATTTCTTACCTAAACATTCATTTTAGGGAGCTTGAGTTTCAAGCCCACTATTGGGCCAGAAACAGTACAAAACCCACCCATTTAGAAATTTTAAAAAACCTATAAAAGAACGACTCGGATCAACATACGGGGACGTCTTCAATCATTTGCGGCCCCTAAGTTCTCAGTGAGGCATCCCTCCCATCCGGATCAAGTGAGAATGCTTATGTGAGAACATTATATAAGAATCAATCGCTGCCGTTGAAATGCATCTGAACGGTTGAAGAGAAAAAGCAAGCTTACGGTCCATACGGGTAGGCTACAGTTTCCCCGTAGCAAAGGTGTCAAGTCGCGCCTGGTTCGAAAAAATGGCGCCTTTCTTATTCCTGACAGTGGCGCCTTTCTTGTCAATGGAACAGTGGCGCCTTTCCAGTCATAACACCCAAATACCTACCAGACATCAAGTTCTCTATTCCTCATCTCTTCTCACAGAAACCCCTTGGTGTACTGTTTCTTGTTGACTTGCTCTTCTGTTGTGGCAGAACCTCCGTGATCGAGTAATTCTCATCTGAACGTCTGAATCGGTACGTTTCTGTCGAATTCCCTCTCTCTCTTTGATATTAAAGTTTGCATGTTATATTGCATTCACTTAATGAATCACCACCATCATATATGACATGAAAATCACTATCTGTGAAACATTAAAGACCTACATACACACTAATGTAACTCGTGCTGATGCCCAATATTTGGCTCATGCTTTCAAACAACTTTAAAATATATATCAACTATCATATGTGTTTTCGTAAAATTCGAGGAATCTTCATCTGTTCCTCATTGTAATCCTGCTTTGGGCATGTAGTGGTGTGAGTGTTGGGAATAATTTTAGGGATTTAATGTGGCTTGGCAAATAAATAATAATAAGTACCAGTTGATCAACGCATAAGAGAAAATTGAATCTTAACTCTGAATATGAGATGATTTGGGATGCATAAGGAGCAATGCATCTTGTAGTAGGTATCAATTTTGTATCTGAATTTGTTGAAATTAGTGTTTGTAGGTGAAATTATGTATCTTAATGTGTTGAAAATAGTGTATCAGTTTTGTAACTTGATATGTTGAAGATTCTGTTAGTAGGTATCAATTATGTAATGTGTTGAAAATAGTGTTTGTAGGTTTAAAAATGTGTAGATAATATTGGAGTATGTATCACTTCTGTATGTTAATGTGGTCATAATATTGTCAGCATGTATCAGTTCTGTTTCTTAAGCAAAATGTGTCTTTCGCAGGTATAAAATGGATTGTGGGTTTGAGCTTTGTTTCCCGGAGTCAGAGGTCTATTCTGCGCGGGTGAATAATCTGTGCGTGGCGCAAACAGTCCTGTGTAATTTTGGGGCGCATTTCAGTGAGTCGCTTATGGAAAGATTTAGAAAGAGCTGTTTTGGGCACTTGTTGGGACTCCATAAAATTGCATTTAGTGGTCAAATTTTGGATTGTGGGTTTGAGCTTTGTTTCCCGGAGTCAGAGGTCTATTCTGCGCGGGTGAATAATCTGTGCGTGGCGCAAACAGTACTT